TAATAATTGCAGTAACTTGAAAGTAAATATTCACTATTCCATTTAAATGCATTACTTTGTTAGGATACCTGCCAGCTTACAGACACACATGTTATATGAATGACTATAAAATTCTTGGTACAAAAAATAATGTACTCACTCCTTGCACCCACAATATTAATTATACAAATAATTAATTATTCAGAATTATTACCAACTGTCATTATCTAATATTTTAAAATGACTTGCTAAGCAAACTATCATATTCACAATTATCAATCTTTCAATTTTAATCATTTAAAATGGTATACAGGGTGTCTGTCATACATCCTTTATGCTCTCAGCTCCAGAACCAGAATAAAGGTGTGTGCCACCACTATCTGAATTTATGCTTTTACCTGATTGCTTATAACTCTGTCCTACCAGAGTGTAACTGTAAGAGACTAAAAAACTTTCAAAAATTTGACACTTGCAAGTTTCTCTATGAGGGTAGATGTGTGAATATATAGTGTAAATACTGGCAGTGTGAAAGTATGGCTATATGATTGGGTTGATGGGTGAGGATGAACCAGTAAAGAGTATCTTCTGAGCCGGGCGTTGGTGGCACACGCCTTTAATCCCAGCACTTGGGAGGCAGAGGCAGGCAGATCTCTGTGAGTTGGAGGCCAGCCTGGTCTCCAGAGCGAGTGCCAGGATAGGCTCCAAAGCTACACAGAGAAACCCTGTCTCGAAAAAATAAAATAAAATAAAGAGTATCTTCAGCTTTGCTATTCCTTATGATCTGATTTGACATAAATCATGTGAGTGCTGAATGTCAGTGATTTACTTACTAAATGAAAGGTTTGATGTAAGGGATTCTTCTAGTCTGGGACTTTATCCACCAGCTTTGAGGTACATAATGCTAAACTCAGCTCCATCTAGTTAGACAGTCTAATTTCACCTGCTAGAATAGTCCTGAGGCACACTAGTTAGATGAGCCAGTAGACGACCAGTGTCTTACAAAGCAGCCTTTACTGCCTGGCTACCTGTTACCTAAATATTCATGTTTACAAATATTCTTAAAGTACCCCTCTTGTTTCCTATATTTTGCCCCCCTTTTTCTTTCTCTTTATCTTCATTGGTCAATGATTTCCAACCCCCTGCTTCCACATTTCCACTCCCAAAGCTGATGACAGATAGCTTTAAATTTTTACCGATGGCTTTGCTGGACACATTTGAAATAAAAATCTATATTTGTGTGTTTTGTTAATGGAAACTGTAAAAACCCCATATCTATTTTTCCTCTCTTCACAAAAAGGACTCAAATAATGTCTTTAGCACTTTAGTGGTGAAGAAGGTAAAAGTTTATGCATTGTATCTTGGCATTTAAATATAGAATGTATGTAATTTGGTCCTGTCATATTTTCAGATGAAACCATTACCAATAAATGCCATATGATTTTAATTCTTTAAGATAGCCTTAAATTATTAAATCTGGCTCCAAAATCCATGTAATATGATAATTAAAGTTGTTTTAGAAATAGTTTAAGAAAATACAAGAATTAACTAGAGGAGTCCTGCTGGCAGTTAAGTTACCATCCTCTACACAGTCTAAACTAGTACAAAATACATATGGTGCCATAGTTAAATCATTAATTTTATTATTTCTCTCTCTGCTTCATGTGACTGAGGTATTTTTATGCAAAGGAGCAATGTTAAAGGCAAAGGCTGTTGTTCTAATGTCATAATAACTGTGATTATCCTAAAGTAATTCTTAGAGAGAGGAGGAGGAAAAGCAATGGTAATGACTGCATGAGAAAAATAGTTTCCCTTTATGCTAAACTCACTAATTCAAGAGAATTATCACTACTTCAAAGCCAACGTTCTGTGTCACTTATCACCAGTGGCCACACCAGGAGGCCATTATCCTGGCTCTTAGAACAATTGTGTTTTTGTACATAACCCATAGTCTGTGATTTCCTTACTGTATACAGTCTATCCAGTAGACTTCTATCCTACGTTAACTTCGCGTATACTCCAATTCATCTGTTCTCTGAGAAAGATAATCCAGGCATTTAGTTTATTTGTCCTGTTTATTAAGGCTGATCGTGGACTTACTCTTTGTGGTCATTGAATGTATCTATTTTTTTATTATTTTGCCAAGGTCCAGCCTTGGCTGGGTCCAAGTTCTGAGGTGGGGAAGGAGCGTTGTTGCAAGGAAAACTTCAGACCACCAGGAGGATTACACTCGAATAGCTCAGACTGTCTTTATTTATACTTAGAGTTTTTTCTTACCAGGGTTTCATAAACAGCTTTATTATTGGCTTCTATTTTTTACTTCAAGAAGGCCCCAATGTCCCCCTTATATGCTTCCCCAGAATAACTTCCCACCACCTGCATAACCTCATTGTAGACATAGAGTTCAGCACTTTTGCAGACCTTAACTAAATATTGAGCCAGACACATTCTGCTCTCCCATCACTTATATAAGCTCCTAGGTACTTACAGTTACAAAATTAAAATTAATAGACATGGACACAATGCTTTAAGGATAACAATGTTCAAACCCCGACAATTATTTCATGTCTGCAAGATATATTTTTATACATTTCCTTTTTCTACAAGTGGGCTACATGTCTCAATCTCTATGTGAAAGGCAAGACTTTGATAGGGCACTCTTTTCCCATCTCACTATATCATACTTCTGCCACCAGTATAAGCTTCTATGCAAGGTAAAGGTGGATCTACCCATCCCATATTTTACATCATATTTTTTTCTGATTGGAGCATACAAGATCTTACCATTGATTCTATGCTTAGTGTCCAGGAAACTTACAGTTGTGCATTCCTGAAGCCTTTTCCCTATTCTGTGTATGCATGCCCTATTCTCCTTTCCAGGACTGTGAGAAATGGTTAATGTTCCAAGTGTTGTTTTCTCATGTGGACCTAAATAAACACCTCTATTCTGATGGAATATGAATAGCTCCCATGATTAGGAATTGCCATTAGCAATTTCAGATAAGAGATTTGAGAAACTTTAGCCCTTGTTGAATTTTAGGGGAAAATATTTGAAAAGGAACAGAATTTCTGGGAAAAATTACAACTGTTCCATGTGTGACTGACAAAGTAAAACTAAAAACCACCCAAAGAATCACCAATATATCGACAGAGAAAAGACCTGCAAGCTGCATGAATTTTGCAATTTCCCACACTATCCCATGGATACTATTCCTTGCCAAGGGAGAGTCCATTTCCACAGGTACCTTGCCACTTGGAAACCCTTGGACAGGTATATGCTGATCTGGCACTAGGCTGCTTGACTCCTGACAGTATTTATGTCTGAATCATGTGTCTGAGGTGTTTACTAACGAGGGAGATAGCCATAGATTGTTTAGTTGAAATCTCTTTGCCACCTTCTTATTTGTTATGTGACATCTTTCTACACTGGATGATATATCTATAAAATGATTATTATCATTGTGTTCATCCCTATTACCATGTAGACAATGAAATAATTTGAGAGCATTTTAAGAAAAGAAATGAGGCAGATGGCATGAATATGTTGCCATTATCAATTATTTTAAGTAATACATACTAAATGTGTATCTGTTTCTAGGCCATACACTGTGTTGTTTAACAATGTAGGCACACACACTCAGAATTAATAAAGTGGTTTCTTGAATTTAGTGGAGTAACAAACATGTAAAAATATGGCATGTTTGGTGACAGTCAGACACAAGTATAAATCTGATGACGGGAAATTAGAAAGGATAAATGTAAAGGGAAATTGTAAATCACTGTTGCTTATGATCAAGGAAGCAAGGCATAGGTTGTTTGGTTTATATCACTTCACCATCTACTCATTTGGTGATTGTGTGTGAAGTCTGTGAATATTGGATAATGTATCAATAAAATTAATATAAGCATTGTGTCCATCATTATTACCATATAAGCAATGAGATAACTTGAAAACATTTTAAGTAGAGAAATGATACATCCAAGATTACTAGAGGTAAAAGATCATAAAACTGAGCTCCTGGGATCCAGTTGCAGAGTGGGAGAAGTGAGGAGCAAAGGGGTCAAGACTGTGCTGGGGAAACCCACAGAAACAGCTGACCTGAGCAAAGTGGGACCTCATGGACCCCAGTCTGACAGCTGAGAAACAGCAAAGGACCAAACCAGATCCTGATCATGGGTGTCAGTTGGGGTGCCTAGGCAGTTTATGTGGCCTCTGGCAGTGGAACCAGTATTTATCCCTAATTCATGGACTTTTGAAGCTCATTCCCTATGGAGGGATACTCTCTCAGCCTAAATACATGAAGGAATGCCTAGGTCCTGGCCCAAATGATGTGGCACACTTTGATGATCCCTCATGGGAGGACTCACCTCCTTGGGGAGTGGATGGGGGTGGGATGGGGAATTGTTGGGGGGCATGTGAGAACAGGAGAGAGAGGGAACTGGGATTGGTATGTAAAATAAGATTGTTTTAAATTTAAATTTAAAAAGAAAAAAATAAAAACTTGTAAAGACAAAGGATTTGAACCACATGAAATAAGCAAAATAGTGAGATCTATCAGGTGCTGAATCTTTATAAGACATTGGGTTGATGACTCAAACTGTATATATATCAGGCTTTGGCAATAGAGTGAGTAGAGACATCCCTGGGAGTATGGTCAGTGTGAGTTGATTGGTTGGGCGAAAGTAGGATTGTATGGGACACAAAAATGTAATATGTATGTGAGAGGAAGAAAGGTTTGATGGAGATAAGTCAGAAATGGCCAGGAATGTGTTTGATAATAGGCAGAATTACAACATGGAATATATGACTAGAAAAAGAATAAGTAATATCCAGCTGTAACAATAACCAAAGGACTACTTCTGGAGAGCTCCTATGTTAGCAATGATGCTACACTGATGTTTCAGTAGATCTGGAACCTCAGCATTTTATTTTTTGCATAGTAAAATAAAATAATATCTTGGTTAATATGAAACCTGCCTCCTATCAGAGAAAAATATAACTGACATTTTTGCCCTTTTTAAAGGATTTTGCAGAAAAGGAGAAGTCCACAACAAAGGCTCTGGAAGATGCAAAAGCAAACTTTTACTGTGAATTATGTGACAAGCAGTATCACAAACACCAGGAGTTTGACAATCATATTAATTCTTACGACCATGCTCATAAGCAGGTAAGCCAAAGTGGGAAAAAATTCCTTCCTCCTCCTAGATTTATAACTTCAGAGCCGAACTGCAAGGATTTGGCCTTATTTATTATCATGTGATTCTCAGAGGTGAAACCATTTTATGTTCATTTTCTGTGAAAGGTTGTTTTCTGTTCAAATGATAGATGAAGTCATTTTTTAGATGTATCATAAAGTTGGAACTGAAACTAGAGATACCATAGGAGTAGTGAGTTATGTAAAATATATTATATATATATATATATATATATATATATATATATATATGAAACAAGAAACTGTGTAAAAATAGTGTCACATTCAAAGTAACCTAAGTAGCTAATGGTAGAACTAAAATCCCTGATTAGCACACAGATGGAATATCTGGCACAACTGATATAATCCTTCTGGTGTTTTTATTGTTGTTGTTTGTTTTTCTCCTCAAATATTCCAGGGTGTACTTGATAATACTAGTTTCAGAACACATCAATACAATAAAATGTGGTTCTTGTTAGATTTTTCCCTTGCTGGATAAGGTATGGAGATATTGGCAACTTAAAAAATATGATTTCAGCATTCTTTTGACAAAGAGCATTCCTATGGCCAAATGATTAATACTAAGAATTATAGTGGCAAATGGAGCTAACGCATTGCAATATCTAGGTACATTTTGTGTACTCTGTATCTAAAATATTTATTCAAATCAAATGAGTTGAAATCTTTTCTATCATTTATGGGTAAATACTGCCTATGCAGCCTTGAGAAAGCCAATGCTGGCCAGGTTATAGCTTCCGTGCTGAAGCACAGAACATATACAAATAACTGTTGTATTTATCTGACATAGCAAGATCAATGGCATGACTATTTCAGGGTTATAATGTTCAGCCATTGTGTGTATCATAAGCAACTTGCAATCTGTTGATAATACTGATTGATGGAATCCTCTTCAGTATTCTAATTTGATAACTTTGAAGTAGGTCAGTTGATTTTCTAGTTGAAAGTATAAAATTCAAATATGTATTAAAGTAAATTATCTGCCTATAGAATTTCCACAGTATTCTTTTTGTTTTATTTATACCACCATACTGTCCTTGCTCCATATGCTACACAATTTGGAAGAAAACTCCAAATAGCATATAATATTAACTCAAAATGTTGCATCATGCATAATGATTTTTTTAAAAATTATCATCATTATTAAAATATCATTGAGATATTTTGTTTCTCTAATTGTCTCTGAAATTGGTCAGGTACTTTGAAATCAGTATGCCAAAGTATCTACTTTTCATATGGTATAATGTGTTTTAAATTATTTTTAAAATATTTAATCTATGGTACTTTTGCTATTTATTTAACATTTACTCTTTACTGCCTGTTTCCCACATTTGAGATATTCTGCAATTATTTTTCTTTTTCTTTTTCTTTTTTTTGAGACAGGGTTTCACTGTGGCTTTGGAGTCTATCCTAGCATTCGCTCTGTAGACCAGGCTGGCCTCTAACTCACAGAGATCTGCTCTTCTCTGCCTCCCTAGTGCTGGGATTAAAGGCATGCGCCACCAACGCCCGGCGCGAATTTTTTCCTAGCATTATGTTTTCACATTTTTTCCTTAGTCTTCTGTGTTTCCATAAAACAGGTTGTTCTAGTTAGAATAGTAAGCTGGCCAAATTCAGATTTCTACATTATTTTGGGGGAAATATGTCAGGGGGAATACAAAATCCTTCCATGAAGACACAAGCGATGTCTGGGCACTTGTCTCCATAAAACAGAGTATTTAAACTAAGTTGGCGCAGGCACTATCAATTTGATCTAGAAATGAGTTCTGTAGCCATTGAAGATCATTTGTTCATATCAATTACTCCATTTGAATGAAGTCTTAAAGCAATGATGCAAATAATCTCTCATCCTTTCTTCCTTAATTGAATGAAAGGTGTTGATCGAGACAAATTTTTATAAGCATTGCACTCTTTTTGTAATTAATTTTCTTTTTAATTTTAAATCTGAATTTATGACTTGAAATAAAAATGCAACAAGCTCATAAAATTGACAAATGGGAACGCACTTTAAAATACCATCACATGCTACATTTACTTAGAGTTAGTAGATCCAGTCTAAAACAAGAATCTACCAGTGAGTTCCTTCCTTTCTTTGAGCAAAAAGGAAGCTTCCATGAAATGCTGGACACATCAGGATGGGCAGCGTTGGCTCAGCACCTCCACCAGTGAGGAAGCCTGAAGCACCACCTCTCTAATGGGGCTTGACTCCATCCTTCAGCTTCCCATGTGGGCGGCAGGGTACCAGTGACTGGATGTTCCCCAAGTCCTGTGTGCCATGGTCTTTTGAGCTCTGGTGACAATGCAAATATCACCATTGGCTTCCTTTTATTATAAACTTCAACAGAAAAGTCAGCATGCTTACAGATTCTAGACATGGAGTTCCGGGATCTTTCTGGAGACTCTCACCACTTTGGGAATGCCCTTTCTCAGAAGTTTCCAAAATGCTGACTTTCTCATGTGGTGACTTGGACCTTAGGGACATCATTCACACATATGAGTACTCATGAGGTGGGTCCAGGTGACAGTCTTTTTGAAGCTGTGCCCATGGCTCTACCATGTCTCCGCTCTGTCTCAAACCACCCCTCTCTGATTACAGTAACCATCCTTTAGATATTTTGTTGGTCTGTAAAACTAAGCTGATTTGTATAAGAACAAGTAAGAAACAAATGCTGGTAGATTTAGCACCTTGCCATCATGTCCACTACTGATGTATGGTAGCCTTCAAAGAGTCATCCAATTTCACTCATGTTTTCCTCTTACATAAATACTCAAGTATTTTTTCAATAATAAACATGATTTTTAGTAACATGCTTAAGACAAACATCACAAAACCAGTAGCTACAATGGATGCTACTGGTGCTCCAATGCTTAATTTCCATACCTCAATTCCAAAATAAAGGTCCAAGCCTTTGACTCTGTCCACGGATTCAAGTTCTAAGACATTATCATTTGACACCATCATTCCTATAGCTTAGCAAAACCTAGAATGGCATTCTTAATGTGTGTAGGGAGTATAAAATTACATCTGAAAGTTTAACTTCTTCAGAATTAACTTAAAAATTTATAGTATCACCAAATCTTGCTAATTATAAAAAGAGTAAATTTGTAATTTCCTCTATAGTGATAGTACCATCATTGACATTTGTTCCAATTAAATTTTGTTTCAACTACCTGATGTTGCACTTGAGGTAGCTGTACTGTGGTTGCATTGCTAGGGCAGTGGTATGGTTCATGGTACCATCTGAAACATCAGATTTGATTTAAATGAGAGGGAAATAAAGTCTCCCTGACACTGTTTCCTCATTGGCATTCAAAACAAAGAACAAATAGAAACAAAACCTCCAATCATTTCCTTAGTGATAAAAGTACAGTTCTTTTGTTAGCATGGACACAATACATGGAATCTGTTTCTTTGCATGAAAAGTGGAGTCCAGGGAGAAAGACTCAAATTCTATCGATACCTTCTGGTTAACTAGAGTAAGAATGTGCATAAACTCAAGCTTGTGTGCATACAGTTTCAGCATGGCACAAAGTGACTGGATGAACCAGGACCCATCTTTTGAATTTCTCCGGACTAATAACCGGGTGCTGTGGAATAAGAATACAGGAAGTCAGCTTCCACTAGTATCTTCTGGTATGCCATGCCATCATCAGTTCCACTGTCTGTCTCAATGCCACAGTCCAGCTCTGTACCACAGCAGGCCTGAATGATGAAGAGTTTGGGCTTTCCAGTTAGACTTCAGCAATAGTCCCCTCTGAAGTAAGTAGTTAGTTTTTTCAGGTCAACAGGCCCATCTGTTCCAAAAATTACTCCTTCATCACCATGGCTTAGAATCACACAAATGAAACTGCTCCTTCTGCTGTGATCTTCTTTAGAAACATTTTTCATCAATTCCACAATTTCCTTATGAGTAAGATCATTCTTATTCCGGACTTCATATTTCAAGCACATGAATGTCTCCCTGAGGTTGGCTGCATCAACACCAGTACCTGAGCGAGGTGTCATTCCAGTGCTTTTATGAAAGTTCTTATTATTAATTGTTATACACACACCTATTTCAGGATAATCTATTTTGTAACTATTGTCCAGATACGTTCCAGAGTCCATTGATATGCTTCCATGTATGGTCTTTAGTTCAAAATTTTTAATGGATTTGGAAGCTACTGAGGTTTCGTTGTCCATGATCGCTTTTCTTAACGAGCTGCTGCAAGCTCCACAACTAACCACACTCGACTGCCCAGCAGCCACAGCCTAACCCCCTGCCCTGGCTCCGCCTATGATCCGCCCCGTCTATGCCCTCTGTAATTAACTTTTTATTAGTTCAAATTAGGAACAAGCTTGCTTCCCATGTCAATCCCTTCTCCCTCTTCCTCCCCTCCCCCAACCTTCTCCCCACCCCCACCTGCTCCTCACCCCATGCACCCTCCACTCCCCAGGCAGGGTAGGGCCCTAGATGGGGGCTCCCCAAAGTCTACCATATCATCCTGGGCCAGGCCTAGGCCCTCCCCCATGTGTAATGGCCCAGCGTGCATCCCTTCACTTGGGATGGGCTCTCAAAGTCCCTTCTAACACCAGGGAAAAATACTAATCCACTACCAGGGGCTCCCTAGAGTGTGGAGGCCTCCTCATTGGCATCCTTGTTCTGGGGGGTCTGGATCAGTCCTGTGCTGGCCTCCCAGACAGCAGTCTGGCGTCCATTAAGCACTCTTAAGGGATATTACACAGGCAGTCTTCAGGCTACATATTAATAGCAATATAATAGGTATCCAGGAAAAGATACAGGAAGGTCTCATAAAAAGAGTGGTATTTGTTCTTGATCTGTGTTCTACAAAGGCATGTGCATGGATATGCACATCTGAAATTAAGCTTCTAGATGTGATGATATTGTTGAGAGAAGACATAGTTACAGTGAAGAAACACAAGATAATTAAATTCCTCATGAGAAGTGTGGCAA